GGTCCATCAACGCCAGAGCACTACCGTCGATTGCACGGCAGTAGCGGCGTAAACGCGACACCTTCTTCTTGACAATTCCGTAACAGGCTGTGAAACGTTGTAGCCACCTGCTACGTGCGACGACGTTTTGTGCTTGGTGGATGAACGCGACTTCATTTGCTTTCTGTTGAAGCATCCGCCCCGACGCCGGAATGTTCCGATTCCGAGCCCTTGCGTCCACTATGTGAAGTTATCGTTTCACCTTTTCGAAGGCCGGTGTCCGAACACGGCTTGCGCCGGAGTGTTTGCTTCGTTCAGCCTTTAAATTGATGTCGCTTTTTGTCTTCAGCAGCGTGCTCAAAGTGCTTCGCGGTATGTTGTACGCTTCGGCAACGCTGGACCTCTTTCCTCCTTTTTCAACGCGGCGGATGATTTCAAGCTTCGTCGCAAACGTCAGCGACGTACCTTTTTTTACGTTTGTTGCCATTAGTACGCCACATGCGGTAGACGCAAAGTCGGAGGAACGGACCCGGAGGAACGAAACTGCGGGAGCCACGCACAAGGCACGAAAAGAGCCTTGCTGGCGATATGATTGAGCTGATTGAGCCCGTATGCCGCCGAATCTGGATGGCGTTCCCGGCACCATAGACATAAAGCTTTATGCGGGCATGCGCTTGAATAAAAGTCGCAAACGCCTGCTGCACCACCGCTATTTCTACGATGTGTTGCGGGAAAGCCCGCCGTATCCTCTGATGTGTTGCGGGAAAGCCTGCCGCCTGCCTCCGGAGCGCAGCTTTCCGGCGCTGCGCAGTTCGATATATTCATTTTTTAACCGACCGAGTTTGCTATAAAAAAAAATTAAATTACATGTAATTCTTATGATAGTTCGACGACGATTCAATATAAGCAATAAATTTATATATCCGTGTTCGATATAATGAGGTTTGACTATGTGATTTCTTCAAGGCTTCGCTGTAATAAAGATTAAAAAAACAATCTTAAAATCGACCTCACTCATCGTTTTCGTAGCCGACTGGTAAAATCAGACATAACTAATTTAGTTAAAGCGCTGAAAATTGAAAAGACACAATAAACGTTTCACTGAACTCTTAAAAATCAGATGAATAAAATATAGGAAGGTTATTCTAAAAAGATGCCCTAAATTCATAGGATTTATTTGGAAATGCGTGTGCGTGTGTGTACATAATTCAAATATGCAGATGAAGGAACTACTGATCAAACGAATAAGAAATGATAAAGCGCGGAAACGCAAATAAATAAATGAAAACTTCCGATAGACATGGCCGGCGTACCGACGGGTGCCGGCAGTGAAGGCTGAAAACAAACTCAAGACCGCAGTAGTTGCAGTCACAGACGGAAACCCTATTAAAAATGTCATAAGTCTACTTTCCCGCAGAATACTGTAAACGACTTATTTGTCGCGATTAGGTCAAAGCTGGAGTTTTGGAATAATTTACGGGTGCTAATTTTCGCGACGCGGTAAGATTTCAATATGGATTCTAATGTGTTTACATTTTAACGGAATTGTTTGCGCGACCTTATTTTCGCGATTTGGAGGCGATGGGCGAAAATTCGGTCCTCTCGAAGATTAAATAGTTTAGAGTATTTGGAGCGCCAATCAGTGCAATCTGAGAAGAGACCAGGAGGATTGACGAGACTGTAAAGATGTTAATTTCATCCGCCATGCTCAATGTGGCACCACCCAGGTAGCACACTTTCTTGGTTTAGCTGGGGCCAGGGTTGGCACTTAGTTGTGATAGCTAGGCCACGACTGCCCAGCCATTTACGTCTGTATGCCAGCCTGGCGTTTCATAGTCTTTCCTTGCTCCAGAAAGCCACGGAACTGCCAGGGAACGCTTTCCCTGGTTGACCAATCAGTTTCCTTGGTCATTGATGGCCAGTGTAAACAGGCCGCTGCCAGTTTTTGATGTACCCTGGCTGTCTACTGATTTTCCTCGGTCAGAGATGGCCAGGGTAGCAATGCCTCTGCCAAGCTTTGGGGTTCCATGGTAGTTCGCAGGAATTCCCTAATCCGCTCAACACAAGCAACAGCCAATATTCGGGCATGTTGCCAGATCGAAGATCGGGTGAGCCAAGGAATGTCAGGGAATTCCCGCTATGCAACGTTCTGTGGCTCAAGCTCGTATTTTATCGGACCCAGAGTGCCCACTCAAAGCCGCTGATACTCTATAGTTCGTTTAACTTTTTCCATTTCTTTTTAATTCGTATGAGCGTTCTCTTAACATATTTTTGGTGCTTTGTGGCAAAAGCCCTCGCACTAGAAAGTGACGTTTGAATGCAAGAAGTCTGTTTGAGCTTGAGACATAAAAAAGAACACGCTTTCCCCATTGAAAAAGAAAAAAAACAAAAAAACCTCTTTGAAAACAGTTTGGATATGAACAGGTCAAACCCGAAATGAACTGGTTGTAGTGGAATTGTACCGTAAAAATTGGAACTAAAACTATCGAAATTGGTCCCACTCGAACTTTATCATTTTCCCGCTTTTTACCGCGGCCTTTATCTCCCTGGCTTGCACGGAGAAGCCGCTTCAAGCGCAAGTGCCCGAGGCGGGGCGCCTGGAAAAGCGCGGGAAAGATCCCGCACCCTCCAGATGAATCATGCGCCTGGAATGCGCCAGTGCCCAAGGACCGGGGATGATGCAGTCTCCCCGCGCGCAGCGCGGGAAAGAGAAGAGCTGCTCACGTGCAAGGACAAGGAGCGCGCGGGCCAATCAGCGCGGCTCTCGCGTCCGCTGGAAGCGCCAGTTTTGAGACGGCGGCCGGCGAAGTTCCGAACCCCCCCCCCCCCCCAAAAAAAAAAAAAAAAGAAACCGGATCTGGCGTTAGTAACGCGAACTTGGGTCTTTGTTCGCGCTGTTGTTCTGCTTGGTGAGGTTTCAAGTTGCTGTGTTTGAATAAGATAGTTTGCCGGTGCCTTGAGTGCTGCCTCTGCCGATGGTTCCTGTGGCTGATGACGTCCTCCACCTGACTTCGCCTGAGTTCCACTCACTCGCGGGCGAAATGGCTGCATCCCAGAACAGCGTGTTCGGAATTCGCTCCGTCCTCATTGCAGCGCGGGCACTGGCTGTCTCTGTCTCGGCGCCAGCGAGCCAGGTAAGCGGGCTCGACCATTTGTATTCATTTTCATAATCAGGGTCAAATGAATCCGAACGTTTTTGCAACCCCATTTGGAACAACCATGCTAGTAATAGAACCGCCAGTGTATACATTCAGCTTCAGAGATCCTCTACCGCAGTGGTTAAGCACTGTGGTAGAGGATCCTGCTGTTGTTGCTCCTTCCTGCCTTCCTAGTCTGTCGTCCGCTATGCAACGTAAAGGCTGAACCGCATGTAAGCGATTAAGCGAGCGACGAGAGTCGGCGACGAGCGGCGGAGATTTCCCACGGTCGCTTGTCGCATCGCTCGGTTTTTGGATTTCTAGAAATCGTCGCTCATCGCCTTGGACGCTTGCTCCCGTCGCTTTCATGCGGTTTGCCGCGTCGCGCGAGTGACCGAACGACAGTGAAGCGGATCGTCGTCGCTTGTCTCGTGGCTCGTCAAATTTCTTACATGAGGTTTCTACTTAATTGCCGCGAGACTGGCACCACATGTAGGATTTGCACACGTTTCCATATTCCCTCTCATAGTGTTTATGATAGTGCATATTTTTTGTTAGTGGCATTAGTAATTTACCATTTTAGAACAGACGGCTGCAAATAAATCTGCCATGGTTCTAATTACTGATGTTTATTCTTTTTTCAGATGCCTTGCGGTACTATGTTAGCCACCACTGGAACCCCGACACTCCAGAAGATGTGGAGAATCTCGCCAACCGCCTGGGACACATGAATAATATCATGCCAATTTTTTTTTTGCACTGTACATATTTTTTATGTTTATTTTTGCAGCCTGCAGTATGTAATTTTTGTGGAAATAAAGTGAATTTTATTAATTAACGACGTGTGCTGTCAATATGACCAGTTAAACTGGTTCAACTGCATGGTGCATTTCTATTGTCTAGCCAAGCTTGGCTGACCACCCGGCCACTAACGTGGCCCATGCTGTGTATACAATAAAGAGCCAAGCTTGGGGTACCACTGAGCTTCCCGCCTGGCCCAGTTCATAAATCCAGTGGTGAGCCAGTCCATGGCTACACAGGCAACTGCCGGTGGATGCCAGGCTGGCATAACAGGATGGGGCTGCGTAGCGCCATGGTGCAAAACAATCTAGGCCCAGTGAAACTTCCCCGGCTACCCAGTCTGGCTCAAGCTTGAGCCGGTCATAATGTGCTGCTTGGGCATCTATCTTATTTGGTGGCAACTAAAGTCGTCAACCACAACGCGACCCCCGAGAAGGCGGCCACACCAGCCCATTCAGAGACTATCGGCCTTAACGCAGTTCTCCGCCGTTATGCCCTATTCGGCCTGAAAGCAACCCCGGCCCTTTCGCCCCTTTCGGGCTTAATGCACTCTCGGCCGTAATTCGACTATCGGCCTTAGCGAGATGCTCCCGTCACATACAGGTCTCTATAGATAAAAAATCGTTTATAGGATTACTTAGCCTAAACCTTTTTACTTGTTCATATAAACTCCGTCCTTAAAAAAAAAGTAGCTTGATACACCATCGCACACGCATAATTTAAGTCAAACATTAAACCTTTAATTAACAAATGTATTAAGCTACTTATTTGCAAAGGTTTTGTATACCCATTTAATGGCACCGGCTGAAGTACGTGCGTATATCTTAAGGTTGAGTCTATCATTTTCGACACTAAGCCGGGTTAGTCCGTAGTGCGCAAAAAGAGTTCCACTGTCGCACGCGGCTTGTTTTTACGTTGCATTTTTGTGCTTCAATCAATGTTACCTTCCGAGTGCTTAGCTCACTATTCTACTTTTTTTTTTTAATTTCCTTGCTTGAGTTTTGTTTTCTCTTTGTCAGGTTGTCAAGGCAGCGTTTCGTTCGGGTCCCCTGGTTCTAAAACTACAACGAAATTAAGATTTATTTACTTGGCTGTCGAATTCTTACCTGCGTAGATGTATTCCCGGTATGCGCCGAGCAACTGAAGAAAAGGCGGGGACGAGAGCGTGCCGGTGCGTCCCAAAGCCGAGCTCATGTTGGAATGATTGATGGGTAGATTTAAAGCTGGATACCCTTGTTTCTGCTGCACTCATGAAACGCGTTAGAACGCGGAACACCGACGTCCGGAGTTTTGCTGTCGCATTTAAACGTGTTCGATAAATGCAATGTAGACAAAGGCAGCTATTGGGCAGGAGATCGAACTATAGGGGGCGCTCTAACCCCTTTGTTGTCCACACCCTCGATGTTTACTCAACACAAGGCCTGCGCACATGCCAGCAGGCCTTATGGGCATGCCCATGTCATCTTCTACAATAGATCGCAGGGCACAGTTTAATGTAAAGAATACTAACAATCGACGAAGCGACGTTATGTGCCGGATATATCCTCAGAGAATGCGAGCTTGACCCACTTCGGCTTTTGTGCAGAGCTGGGACCTTGCATGTTGCATTGTTCACGCAGGCCAGAGTGAAAACAAGAGCCTCTCCTCCCCCTCACCGGAGAACACGAACTCCAGCCGAACGTTGACTCCGCGTTCGGTTATGGCGGCCGAGCGCTGAATCATTGTATTTGTTGTCCCCATCCGTGTAGTTCTAAAGTTAACCGCTTGGGGCGTCACGGTCGCTCCTCCTCTCCAATAGCTTTAAGTCCACTCACGAATCCTTCGAACGAGAGCTCGGCGTTCTGACGTCGGTGCGATTTCTCGTCTTCTCCTCTCCCTCAGTCTCTCGGTGCATTGGACCGATGGTCGCAATCACGAAGGTTACACCACTGACAAAGCTGCGGGGTCACCCTGATGGGAAGCAAAGTCTTTGTTCAGCACCAACACGGGCAAACGAAATATCGAGGCACACGAAGCAAAATAGTTGACGTGATACGATATAGGTTTAGGTCAGTCCCTCTTAGAAAACGAGCACCCGCACAACGCTTCAGAATGCGAGTATTTACGCCAGTTGCGTGCTGCAAGCTAGGGGTGTTAAAGCGATCCCCCTCAAATCATCTCTGTGAACGCCAAACGAGTTGCACTAAAAGGAAACACGTGCTCAACGATCTATAAGTTAGTTGAGCACGCCGCAAAATGGTGGCAGCCATGTTTGTTTTCGATTAAAACAATTGCGGAAAAGCCATTCTTGGAATATTTTTGAAAACAATAATTAGTCTATTAAAAATATTGGCTCCTCAAACTTAAGCATATTGTTGTTTAAATTAATGCGCGCCGAGAAATGCTGATTAGCTAAATCACTTTCCGATATTGGCGAGGCCTAGAGCAGGGCTATCTCCAAACACATTATGCCTAATGGCGTGTATATTGCTAAACATTGTTTCTAATTTGCGAAAAGGAAAGAGGGACATTTAAGAAAAACAGACAAGGTAGGCTTTCGACTTTTAACAAAACGTTTACTGGCTCGACTTCGCCTCCTGAAGCTCGACGGGCGGCGTCGGGGAGGCAGAGAGGGAGGACGGTGGGTGATAAAAGCGCGAGCCATGTGGGCCTGCTCGCAGCTAAGCGTGCATGGCGGAAACGGGGGTCTGCTGTGTGTCAATTGACACGTCGCCGTTTCACGCAGCCCCGAGTGCAGGCGGTGCCCTCTTGGAGAACAAAGGGAGGACGGGAAAAGGGGCGCGGAGAAGAGAAGGAGGAGAGGATCTGCCGGCGATCCCCTCTTGGGGAAGGAAGGGAAGAGAGGGGAAATGGCGCGGAGAAGAGAAGGAGAGGAAGATACGGGAATTCAGACTTTTTTTTTGCCTTTAGAGGAGCCCTCTCGCCCCACAGGAAGTGAATCTCTCGATCGGAAAGAAAAACGGATGGGCTGGACAGGTAGAGACTAAAAGATTTGATGTGTAGAGACTCGAGGATTTCCCTGCCGAATCGAGATTTGTACACGCCGAGAATTTTGGTTTTCGAGAATTCGGGGATGCACGAGGGGCAGTTTTTGGTGCGAGCCACGACTGGGTGGACGAAGTCCAAAGAGGGAGACGAGATCTCCTTCGCGTGCTCACAAAGACGGTCATTCACGCAGCGCCCCGTCTGGCCGATGTACTGGGCTCCGCACACAAGAGAATACTATACATCTTTTGCCTTGTGCAGGGCCAAAAGCACTGCGCGTGTTTTTTTGTTGTTTTTTTGCATGTGTGTGTGTGTAAGGGGGGGGGTTTCTGGGTTGGTGACTCGCTTGCACATGCCTCCCAATTTAAATTTGCATGTGAAAAGAACTCTGGTGCCGAATCGGTGTGCAAGCGCGCGGAGTCGGTGTGCCATGCTGTTGGAGTAAGGGATGCACGCAGGGCGGGAGACCGGGTCCCGGAGGGAGCCTCCGTTGGGCGGCTCCTAGACTGCAGGATGAGTCTCTTGCTGATGTTATCTAGGAGGTTCACCGGGTAGCCCGCCCTCCGGAGCCTGGTGGCCAGCTGCGACAGGCTTCATCTGATATTGTGATCGCATGACTTTTTACAAGAGGAGAAAAGGAGAGACTGGACGATTCCGGACTTAACGGTTTTTGAATGATGGCTGCAAAACGGGAGGACAGGTTTCTGTGAACGCTGTTGAAAAGACCAGCATATTCCGTGAGACAAGTGGGTCAGTCGAAGATCGAGGAATTCAAGGCCCTCCTGAGTAGGTTGATCCTTTTTGAAGGTGAGGCCACTGGCGTTAGTTTGAAATGCCTAAAGGAAGGAAGCATCTGAGTTGGAGACAGGATGAAGAACGAGATAGTCGTCGACGTACCGGAAGATCTTACATTCATTACCCGAGCGAGCAAGATGCTCCCGCACCGCGCGATCCTCAAAAAAGAGATAAATCTCACTGAGGATTGGCGCGAGGCAGGAACCGATACATACACCCAACCTCTGAATGAAAACTCTTCCCTCGTGCTGAACCAGAGTGGATCCCAGATAGAGCCGGAGGAGATCGTGGAAGCCTCCTACCGGGATTCCGGATGCGTTTTGAAACCTCGTCATTCCATGTAGTTCAATTGCCTCAGAAACTGAGCTTAGAAGTCGAAAGCCTGTCTTGTCTGTTTGTCTTAAATGTCCCTCTTTCCTTATGGTAAATTAATAACCAACACGCTCAACAATCTACATAGTTTCTAAGCGCTCGTTTTTTTTTTTTTTCGGAAACTATGCCGCCGATATCATTGCGACGCCCACAAAATGTATTTCAAAATGGGAGCTCATCGGAACTAGTAGTTGAATTCGTGCGAATATTTTTCACGCGTTTTACCATTCGACATATTACATACAAACAGAAATGGGCAGGGTGCAGCATAAAGTATGTTATTTAGCTCCTTTCACCTCAAAAATAGACTACATATCGCAGAATGATCAGTCTATGCCCAAGTGTAGGGCTAGCGTTCTGAACCATAATGCTAAAGCCTCAGCAGTAACTGCTATCTTGTTCGAATATTATAAATGACTTTCAGAAATTTTAAATAGAAAATGGCGGCCGACTGTGCTCTCGAATAGAGGAAGCTCAATGGCGCCAGTTAATTAAAATGGTCGAAAATGTACCACATTTTCCATTTGCAAATGTCAGGAAATCAGTTATACTTTTGCATTAGACAACGGTTTGTGCTGAAACTTTTGCATGTGATTTGAACCGCTTGCGCCGCATTTGGCCGGGGTTTAGCGAGACTTAGTTTAGTTCAGACTTGTACGTAGTTCAACTCCACTACTCAGGTTAATATAGATTAACTACTTTTCTGAGTAGTTTAGTAGGTTTCAAGCATATTTTAGTTCCTTAATTAGTAAACTTCTTTTACTTCCGAGTAGCTTCTACTAAAATTAAAATTTACTTTCGAATTTTAGTGGTAGGTTAGTTTATCAACAAACAGTCCTGCACAAAAAGAGATAAGATGTTGGAAGAACAGGTAATATCTGCAAAAAATGTGAAAAGTGTGGGGGGGGGGGGCATGTGGCGTAGGCAGGGGAGGAGGGTGGATGGAGGGGGTGGGGTCCGAAACCCTGTAAAATATTCACGAGTTCTCCCCCCCCCCCCCCCTCCTCCCTTGCGACAACCCTGCTGCAATGCGCGGGGAGAGGACTGACACGACCTAAGTGAGGCCGAGTAACTATTGCGAGATTAGTGTCGAAGAGTCGCGTGCTGAGTGAAACGTGAAGATTGACTAGTGCTGAAGAGAGGGCTTGTCTTCGCTTCTACCCAAACAACGTAGGGACTCCCGCCCACTACGGGAGGCGTACACGCTGCATCCTTACTCGAAGGAGGAAACAAAATGCAGCACCAAATCTGAAGCTCATCTGGTACTCACGTGGTTTTTGCTGTACTTGAACAATCGCGTGATAAAAGGCAGCAGAGGGGTTGCCATTTAGGTTGCCTCTTTGCGTTGCTTTTCCTCCGAAAACTATGAATATGCAGGTCTTTCAAGATTCGAAGGACGTTAGGGAAGCCATAATAATTCGCCCAGTGGTTTTACATAAAATATAAATATGAAGTCGTGGTAAGTAGTTAAAGTACATTCCCTGAGCATGTAATTGTACTTTACTAAAGCATTTATTTTTTCGGGAATTTTCCGAGAAACGTACAACTCCCGACTTCAAATTACATTCCCGAAATTCGAAAACAAAAAGTAGCCTATCATCATGTGAAAACTCGCTAAAGTCTAACCAGACGTCACCTGGTCATTTCTCTGAGTGAAGTAATGGCGGCTTTAAAACATATACAAACAAGTGCCCCATAAGTTTATTTTGTTGACTAGTTCGTCAGCGACACTAAAACTACTTTGTGGCGACATTACTTTATCCAATATTTGGCACCATTACCGCACAAAAATGCTGAACTTCCGACTGCCCCTAGAGCAATGCACACAAGTTAAAAAAAACAAAAAACACTGTATGCGGGATGAAAGGGCATCACAGACGAATGTGTTAAAAGTGCTTGTACTTCACTTGGAATGAATATCGTATTATAGCACTCTACTTCAAGTACTTTGCACCCGGTCTACTTACTACTTTATTTGAAGGACACAACCGCTAATTTACTTTGTACATTAAGTAGTTTTTAGGTGTACCTTACGCAACGTTGTAAACAAGCAAACATTGTCTTCAAAATCAAGCTCAGGTAGAGCTAAACTTCAAAGTATAAATTATACATCTGCAGTACATCATTGACCAAAAACAAAAGAGCACAAAGAATTGGGCAGGCAGAAGCAGTGGAGCACAACCCGCTTTATATTTGGCTAGAAGAATTTCGCTAGTGGATCAAGACCTATGTACTTTATTTTTACAATAAAAAAAAACATAAAAATAACTTCAAAAGTAATTTGCTACTTTTTAGGGTAGTTAGTAATTTACTTTTTTAATTTTCTTAAAATTTACTAGTAATTACTACTCCACTTTAATTAGTCTTGAGACCAATACTCAGTAAATTAATTATTTTTTTAATAACTTGTACATATCTGAGTTTATTTCTGCTAAAAAGAACAACACTAAAATATTTTTTTTTCGGGGAGACGCTGTATATAACGCGACCCCCTACCAATCGTACCGTGTTGATCATAAATCGAGGGAACAAATATTTTTGTCTAAAACCATGATATTTAGGAAGTCCTTGTTACGAACAGCTATTTTTGACTGCAATCGACTGGCTCCGTCTGTAGTTCGTGTGCTAGCGAACGATAGTATTTTTTTTTCAATGTCAGATTAAATCTCGCTTGGTTTCTTGTATACATTACGTTTATATACCCTTGCGTAGTTTATTTTTGCTTGCAAACATTCTTTTCCTGTATTCGAAATAATATTCTGCCGTGCAGCCGAGCTCTGACTGACATTGTACGCTTTTATCTGTGTATATCCCCCACTGCAATGCCCGCTCAGGAAGTATGGGCATTGCACGAATAAATAAACAGACAAAAATTAAAAAAAGGCGGCTAGCAAGACGATGTCTAGCTAGTTCGCCGTGACTTGCCTCTGGGCATACTCCAGGATCTTTTTCCTAATTGCGCTCGAGTTGAGAAACGTAGGCGCGGAGAGGATTACTGTATGCACAGGGGATTTGCATACAAGAGGGAACAATTGTAACTTTAACGGTGGAGAGGCCTCGATGGGACAGAAGCTCTTCTCGTGCAGGACGAAAACAGCCCGAGGGAAATGTCGGTTTTTGCATCGTTTCACAAATGATATAGATTTCTTTTTTTCTATGACACGGAGTATTGGTAATTAAAAAGGTACGCTTTATGTCCCCTGGAGTTATGATAGAATAATGAACAAGGAAGTGGAACTGTCTATCTGGAAGATATGACTTTGACGGTTAAGGTGGCCCCGGTACGGTAATAAGAGTTACTTCGCCGTCGTCGTGCGGTGGGCGTCTAAATTTAGGCGGAAATGCGGTAGGCCCGTTGACGCTGCGGATGAGCTTAATTTAATAAAATACAAATATGTTTTTAGCTCGTTTTTCTTACGAGTTAAGGCCGGAGCAATTTCGGTCACCGCCGGTGCAAAGGCGAAACTGAGAGCAATTTGTTGTTAAACCACGATATAGTTCTTAACGAAACCCCCCGTCCCCAAACTTTGTCTGCCTGTACGTACACTTCCAGCTAAATTTAGCGGGGAAACTATAGTGTTTCGGTCACATGACGCCAATGAATGTCATATGACCTGAAGTCGCGATAGCTATTGTTCTGTCTTAGAAGTTGGTCGACACCGGTGCGGCAAAAACTACTTGGGTTTATTGACATGAGGGCTGATGCGGCCGCCGGCTGGAGCGCTCCGCTTGTCGAACACTCCCCGCTTTCATGCATTGACGCCCTATATCATAATACGAAAAGAAAAAGAGAGAGAGCGAAACGGGGCGTCTCTGTAGCATAGACTTGTGGCAATGTGTTAGCTATTTGTTTATAAGGACAGACAACAAGACACTTCCCATTTCTTAGAAGGTGCTAAAGTTACACAAGTTAGTAGGTAGTTCTAGATACAAAACAAATTTTCCATATGTAATTAGTGAAATTTAACAGCCGAAAACAGTAGTCCGTAATGTTCGGATGCACACTCATTTCACTCATGTGTACCGATCCTGGGGACGTCTTTCTCGTAGACACTGTTTTCTGTAGCTGGTAAAGGCTCGGCTTCGTTGACACTGTTTTCGAAACCTATCTGTTCCGTGGATATGCAGCCTACTGTGGGACCCTTTCGTGTGTCTTGGACCATTTTGGAAGTTTTTTGCTCAAAAAGTCGCACAGCATATGGTTCCTCAATGCCGGTCGGCGATTCAGACGCCACCGGAGAACCAGCTCGCTTGCACCTTTGCATTTAATTGCATTA